AAAAAATCCGAATTCGGCATCGATCTACAAACTAACTCGAGTTTTAACATAAATTTCTTCTTCAATCCGAAATTGAATGCGTCCAGTCTTGAATTCGAGATTTGTCCAAGCTAACTAGAGATTGAATATAATCTCAATTTCGATATTAACATGTGTACCGAATGTGCCTACATCTATCGAATCAACCAAAAACAAAAAAATCAATAAATCAATGCCAATATTGCTGTTTTCAGAAGAATAATACAGAAGATAGGCATTACTGCAGTTTAGTGATATTTTTTTTCTGGTCATCAGCATCACATTGACGACTAGATGTACCAATTAATATAAGAGGATGACTCAACTCTATGTGTGGAAAAAAAGATCTGAAAATGAAAATGACATATTAACAAAATCGAGTCTAACTCTTAACGATCAATTTCAAGAGGAATTTTTACAATTACTTTTTTTTGAATACTTTTTGAAAATAAGCATATTTCCATAGTATTTTTATTATTCTAGATTATAATATGTTATTGATCAAATATAATAGTTATTCGATGTATCGATTTCGATGTTTTTTACCATTATATCAGAACAACAACAAAAAATATTCGATTTCATCATCTGTAACATTAAACTCAAGAATGAAGAAACTAATCGATTCCAAACAATATAAAGAAGCTCTAGATCTTTTCGATCAACAAACTGAGATATGTAATAATTTTACTATTGATATGGCAATAAAAGCATGTACAATATTGAATGATTACAAACGTGGTATTACTATTCAACAAAAGCTTTCATCAAATTCATTGAATAATTCTTATATTCAAACATCATTAATTCACTTTTATAGTAAGTTATTCATTTTATCAATCAGAATATGGTTGTATAATAATAGGAATATCTGAATACTCCGATGAACGAATACGTTTATCTTTAGCGAAAAAAAAAAAAATCCTTTTTCATTTTTTTACCTTTTCTGTGTAACATAAGACTTGCATAATTATAGATTTCATTTATAGAAGATGTCATCTATTAAGGATCTCCAGGTAAAGGTGGAAGAGTCTGTTAAAAGTTGACAAATCTGAATAGAGGAGAGTGACGTCAAACATTTCTGGATGTCCAAACACTTACTATGCATATTCTGCTTTTTTCTCGCACAACTTTCAGCGAAATTTTGAAGTTTGATTTGTTTTAAAGAGCATTATTAAATAGAAAATGAATGGAATGAATCAGTTGAATATGAATATGCTGTTAGAATAATTGAAAATGATGCTACATGAACAGCTAGTTATTTTCTGAAGCAGTACTATCAACATTGTTATATGTTTGATTGCTATTTGTATTGAACTTCACTTTTTGATATGCTATTTTCTGCTTGTTAAAATAAAATGTATTTAAAAAACAAAAAAAACTTTGTCAAAGATGATATTTTTTTGTTTATCGTGTATGAAATGTATGTTTTGTCTTTTTTATTTATTTTCCATTTTCGATATACCGGGTGTGGCAAAAGTTTTGCGACATTTTTTGTTTTGCATTTATCTCTGTTCAGGAATATGACAAAATGTCGATCTTTTTTTTAAAAAGATGCACCGTTGAATTCTCTACAAACTTCTATTTTCCTTAAATTAAAACAATAGCGTTGAACATTTTTACAGGTTACATAGTGTAATCATGTGAACTACGTTTACTTTCCGCACACTTTGTTTTTTGTTCTTTCAACGAGTTTTCAAAGTTACAAATAGGCACGAAATAAACTTTCTTTTTATAATTTGAGTGTATATCAAATGCTCTTTCAGAATTATTTGTAAGTGTTTGATCGCAACCTATATTTATCTAAAAGCTATAGCCTGTCTATGATGCTACAATGAAAACGTCTCTTTTAACATTATTCGGATTCTTCTTCCATCTGAATCGCTTTTTTTACGCGTTATTTGGGCTCCATATAGAAAAAGAAATCAATTCTCTACAAAATACTGGCAAAATTAACCCGGTTTAGTTATAGGTGGCATTCCAAGGACGCTTTCTTTGGAGAAGAAAAGTCACACATGCAAATTGCATTATTTTCAAAATACGCCAAAGCGCCCAATCGAAAGAATAAGCATTTGAAAAAGGCAGATATATACTCAATCGATAGAGGATTTCAAAAGTTGTCTAGCAGTAAATTATGCTTTAATTACAGAATATTCATTTGCACGAAAAGAAAGAATTATTAAAAACCGTGTGGGAAGTAAACATAGTTCACATGATTACACTATGCGACCTGTAAAAATGTTCAACTCTATTGTTTTAATTTAAGAAAAATATATGTTTGTAGAGAATTCAACGGTGCATCATTTAAAAAAAAGATCGACGTTTTGTCATGTTCCTGAACAGAGATAAATGCAAAACAAAAAATGTCGCAAAACTTTTGCCACATCCGGTATTTATTCAATGAACCTTTTATTTAATAAAAGGAAAAACAGCAGCGTATTTCAGTCATCAAGCTCTTTCTAGAAAGTTGTTTTTTGTATGCTAGATGTCCAATTGGGGAAGGAAATGATGAAGCTGGACATGCATGAAGGGCATAAAATGCAATTTTTATCTGCACATTCTTTATGGATGATTCCCAAATCAAAGCTCTTCAATATCTCAAATCAGTACAACAAACTTACTGTTTCTTTTTGTCCTACACAAAATAATATCCTTTCATATTCTTCTTTTAAATTAAAGTATTAAGATTGAGTCACTAAAAGTATGCCAACAGTTTCAACAACAAGACCATCATATACTAAACGCTTAATGGTACTCACTATTTACATATACCGGCCATGGTTTTTTTTTATTCATAGTGCAATGTCATGATATCGATAATGCAACTCGTCTATTCTCTACAATTACAAACAAATCC